TTTCAGACTTTTTTCCCGTAATGATTGCTTTACCTCCTTGTCGAGTCTCGAGTCGCTGCAATCAATTAAAGCTGCCCTTCAGGCTAACAAGTAACATGAGATGGCGAGATGTGTCTCTGAACTATTGTCCTGAACTCGGACGAGCCGGCAACAAAGTACAATGGCGATATAGGCTATCGCAGATATTGCCGATGGTGCTACGGTCCATTTGATCGGATAAATCCGGTTATGTCCGGTCAAATCTCGTTCTGATCGGATAATAAATCAAAGAGGAGTATCTTCAACTTTAAGACACTGCAGTAGAATTTAAGCCTCGAATATGAAAGAAACTTATATTTATAGTGTACGTCTACCTACGTTCCGTTTGATCGGATAAATCCGGTTACGTCGGTTCAATTCTCATTTTGATGTGATAGTAAATCAAAGAATAGAGCGTACTTTTTTTAAGACACTTCAGTAAAATTGAAGTTTAATGCGTGTTAGTGATGGCATTCAGAATAAACTAAGTATTATTACATTTATAAATGTATCAAATGAGAAATGTACGTCAAAGAGAGCCCTGTTTGTTAATCTTTTTCGAGCAAATAGCGCACAAAGCGAATAATGCCTTGTCAAAATGTTTGCGACAGGACGAAATATCACTATATTATTAAAATGACGTCGCCCCGCCTCACGAGATTCGCGTTGAGTTTGAGCGTCTCTGTATATTAATATTTTATCCGTAAGATACGAAACCGTAATAAGTAGTGGTCTCCCTTAACTGCCCTACTATTTATAATAGCCTCAGAAGCGCTCGGTGGAGATAGAGGGCAGAAGCACCGCTCCATTTAACATGCGAGCACGCTTCACGTCACCAAGGCTGCTGGCCAAGACTTTGAACGAGCGGTCTATAAATGCACCATTGCTATTTAAAATTACCTGCCTTTAGTCTGTATGAAACCATGAAAGGACATATTTTTCTACTTTCGTAAAAGCGACCATGTAACTCTACCCCGGAAAATTAATATTTTAGATACAAATGGATATTTATTAATTAGTTAAAATAAATATAAATAAATAAATAAATAAATTCTTTATTGAATAACTTATTGACAGTTTTTAAATATTAAACTATAATAGGTAAAAGTACATACGTGCCTGAACTAAGAATTATAATTCCTGTATCTCAGGCAAAAAAGAGGCTTACATTACTTTATTAATAGAACTATTTCTAGCAAAATATATAATGTAATATGTATACATAATAATATTTAAATTAAAATGTCGAGTTCTAAGTAGATAAGAAATAAGATTTTTTTTTCAGCAGGAAAACCAGTTTCCTTATGCGAATAAAATTGAAGCGTAGTTGTATTTTACTTATTATACAAAATATGCTCAAAAACAGCTATCTCTACAAAGCAAGAGAAGTTAATTTTAGTAATAAAGGCATTTCTCAAGGCCATATTAATGAACAAACAATAAGACCAATACGAAACGACCTACTGAGTAAACAGACGGGCCATCGATAGTAACAATAGGAATTTGTGAAAATGGTTACCGCTAAATCGAAGAATGTTAACTTATTTAAAACAAATACGTTCAAGAATTAATTGTAAAAACTAAGAAATCAGGTGATGGTACAGCTAAGTACTTGGGGAATAACATCGACATCGTAAAAAAAATCACCATGCTCCAATAACAATGTTATCTACGATAACATGTTCAATTAAAAGCCGAGATTTTTGCGCTGATTCGGTGATTCAGACCACCTGCAATGCATGAAAAATTGTCATAGGTAACTCAGGGAAGTTTTAGGGATTATTCTTTATTTTAACTATTAATGAAGGTCCTCTACTTAAAACATCATATCTACTTACTAAAAATTAAAAATTTTTGATTAAAAAAATCTTAATTTTTATATTTTTTAATTTACATAGAGAATTTAACCCACGTACTTATGTGTGTATAACATAACTACACTGCATCTACTACCTACACCTGCTTATGTAGTTATACGTTATTTATAATCGATTTGATTTTATTTTTCATATGAATGAGATTTCCTCGATTCCCCTATAAATAAGGTTAAGGAATTGTTCCCCATGACATGATCCAGCGCCTGTTTGATTTAGTGAATAACTCGTGGTCTGGTTTCCGACAGCAGGAAATACAAGATTTACGTTTAGGTAATGTAATTTTGGATCTGAGTCACATTGTATGATTTATTTAGTTTATTAATTTTACACTAAACTTTATGAATAGTAAATCAATACAAATTCTCACGATTCTAAAAATTCGTATCAATGGGAAAAATCTATCTTCCTACGTGATACCCAAATTGGTAAAAGACATGAAATAGCATTCTGGGTAGTCAATGCGAAAAAACGCTCAACGGTTGGAATGTGCAGGTGTCAAAATGTCCATACGGACCGGCTGTTAGTGTGGCAAAAAGTATGAACGTCGAAATGAGCAATGGTTAAAATGATCTGTGTGCTTACCATGAGTTTACGTTAGTTGTGCTCGCTAGCGACTACGTAAAAAAATGACATTAATTGTATGACATATTGTGTAGCGCCCCTAGAGGCTACTTTCAAGAAACAAAATCTTCATAGAGATTTTTGACGTACTCGCTAGCGAGCACACCTAACGTAAACTCATGGTAGGTGCACTGAAGTTAAAATGTCTTCTGGTTTATTTGAACAAGCGTCTTATTGTATAATATCTAACGTGAACACGTGTTTAATGCATCAAGGTAAAAATGTCCAAAAAAACTTTATTGACTAGACTACAAGAACATTGAACATTTTGACATTTAAATTTATTAATTTATTCATGAGCACAATATATCAGTTGATCATTTTATCTATCACACCTTTTGTTGTACTTGTATTTTGTGTGTACCATTTGTCACTAAACCATTGTAACCATGGTAACAATGTACATTTTGGCACTGGGACTTTTTGACGTTCATACTGTCTGCCACACTAACAACCGGTCCGTATGGACATTTTGACACCTGCACATTCCAACCGTTGAGCGTTTTTTCGCATTGACTACCCACTCCCAGAATGTGAAATAGTTAGTTAGACTCAAATCTATAAAGTCAATCGGAATCTCCACGCTGAAGTGTTTTCCGAGGTTGCAATATGTAGAGTGTAGAGTAATATCAGAAACCGAATATAATGTTATAGTAGAGCACTATAATATTCATCGCATCGTAACTGGCCAGCTGACTGACCTCGCGTCGGATTTAATGTGTGTACAACAATAAGGAATTAGGCCCAATCAAGTGCGGGTCGATAGACAAACAGTAAAAAAGCTTTCGGAGTCTTTTATCGGGTGAAATGGCGCCTGCGATTATTGTAACAGCTGGATCGCCATCCGTATTCATTAATCTCATATGCAGCGCGCACGGTTGTTTTTCTCCTGCTCGACAACAGTTTGAAACAGATCGCTAACAATCAATTTGACGCTACGGGTGACTACGAAGTTTCCTACATTTTACGTATTTTTATCTATAGTTGTCGTTGTTTTTATAGTAGAACTCTGGAAAATGTACAACATCAACGTAACATAAAATAATAGTAGTGTTTAAAAGTGTAAGAAGTTAGTAGTAGAAGTATTCCGATTAGCAGTGTACTACTTAGATACAGCTTGACCTTTATAGTTTTTATGTATAAGAGGTGTTGGTTGACCAGTACATTCTGTAAGCAAAGTGATAACTAGACATCGGATTATATGCATTTGCATTATTGCATATGCGAACGCATATAATGCTATTTTTATAGCGTTATTGCATATTTTGGTACTTTTTCATTGACAGTGCTTATTTTAGTATTTATACGTATTAGACGCTGCGAGAGCGCATTGAGAGCGATCCGTACCAGTGTTGCCAGTCGGGTCTAGGGATATTCCGATACTAATAAATACGAGTAGGTACTCGATACTTTTGATTCGATACCAAGTATTTATTGTATCGAACCAATTTTGCGATACATAATCGGTATCGAAACAAAAATACTTGGTTTCGAATCGTGAGGTACGTATGTAGGTAAGTATGCATTCATTATGGAAAACCTTCATAGTAGGTTAGGTTCCTATACTATCCTAAGAATTATTGATTACCTACATGGCCAACAAACCTTTCAGCATCTTTGGGAAGCGAAAAAAAAAGATAAATCCGGTAGATTACTTTTAGAATTTAAACACCCGAATGCCACACAATATGTCTTTCTCTTTATGTCCATTTTTAAATAATACTTCGATCATAGAATTATAATCATACTACAACGCACGCCAGCGTCCTGACGGGCGCGCGCGTGACACTCGACTGATATAATACCCGCCGGCGGGGCGCTTCGCTGTAGGTAATTATCGGATGTACCGCGCGGAGTGAGCCAGGCCTGTTTAAATGCAGTTTATGACATAATTTTTAAATTGTCACTATTAATATTTTTTACTATATTTATATTGTCACAAGAATTAATATATTTATATTGTCACAAGAATTACAACCGTAATAATAACCTATATAATTAATTAATTATGTATTGTGAAAATAAAGTTAATTCTAATAATAATGTTTTTTTGATTGTGCATATTTTGTGCATATTTCGCCCTTTTTTAGTGCATATTTGCATGCATATTTTGGCATTTTGATAGTGCATATAATCCGATGTCTAGTGATAACCGTACGAAATTGGGGTCATCACTGTTCAAAAAGTAATATTCTGATATATTTCTGTATAATAGCGAATGACTTAAACTACAATTTTATTGAAGTATCAAATTAATTAGTATTTTAAAAATTCAAATTGATTAAATTTTATTGGAGTATTAGTATTTATTCCGCGATAGTTAATTTATTTATTAAATAATTAATAACTTATTTTTTACTGTAACGTAAGCGCAATAATGCAACGCAGTTTTTGTATTTTACGATGCGGCCAAACATACAGGCAGTAAATACATTGCTAAACGTGAACACGCTGAATATTTTTATGATCTTATAAATATCTTACCTTCGGTGTGATGGATGTTTTATTCATGATCTATCGCTTTCCGGTGAAATCGGCTCTAACACATTGTTTTTACAATTCTGTAACCAATGGCAATATCGTTACCAAAATGTTTTCATAACAGAATCATGCGGCACAACAGCGTTTATATGTCAAAAAGTCAGTTGTCCATGATCGAAATCTAAATTAAAAGGCAATTAAAACCCATCCCGCGACCCTGTAAAGTGCTTTTGTTATCACACGACAGATGTCCAGATATGTCCCATGCTTCCACCATAAACGTCTCTCCGGTCTAACTTCTAATACACTTCCGTCGTTTTTAAATCGTCGATCGATATTAATTCACCGATTTTATTTTAGCGGGGCCGGATTCACGGTAGACAACGTCGGTTCGGGTTGAATTTTAGGATTTTCGATTGTTTCGGGTAAGAACGAAAGTTTGCGCGCGCCCGGGAATCGACCGGGCATACCGGCGCGCCACTGAGCGCTCTGGCGGGGTCCGGCCGCGCCGCCCGTGCGCATGCGTGCGCTGCCCACCCACGCCTCTCCACTGCTCCACCACGCCGGCGCCGCGCCGCTACATCGCGCGCTCGCCACGGCCCGCGCCGAGCCCTAACCTCCGCAGCAGGCGATGGACACCACGCCGCTGTTATCGCTGAGCCTCGCCACAGGCCACCACGATAGCGCAAGGACCTGAAGCTGACGTCACAGATCGCGTGCGAACGCCATTTCGATGCCGGTCAGAATACGATCTTATCCCTATTCATGACGAGACGCACATTAACCGCCTTATAAACCATACTATTTGAGATACGAGCCCTTGTAGTGTAATGAATGTGTGTGACCTTGAAGCGAAACTTTCTGAAGGACACGCGCCGGGAGTCATGGTTATCTCGTAGCATCGTAGCATTTACGCAATAAAACATTTTAAAATCTTAAACTGTATCTATTTTAGAATTTTTCATATAAAAAAAACATACAAACACAAGCGAGCAAAGTAATATTTCTATACATATAATAATTACAAATAAAATGTACATAATCATTAAATGGCTAAACTTCAATTCAACACGTTTGATGTACTTACATATTTATCAACGATTCAACGTACAAAACCGATTTTAATTACATAACAATAAACTTTTAACATTATATCACAAACAAAGAACTCACGACAAGGAAGACACGGGCCAGTCCTTCAACTGTTCATCAGGGTCCCCTGCATCGCTACAGGCCCCAGCACTGCTACAAGCACACGATGCGTTCCGTGAACGCGCCTATGATGGTCATGTCGGTGGCCAAAGCGGCGCGCATCACTTGCGGCGCGACGCCGTCTCTGACTCGCAGCGTGAACTCCTTGCGCGCCGGCGCCGGCAGCGCGCCCCCGGCCGCGCTGAGGATCCTCGTCCTGCCGGCGACGTCCAGGGGCGTCCCCTCCACGCTATCTCCGAACACCGCTCGGACGCACAACGATCTGCACGCCTCCTTCTCGGCTTCATAAATGTCTCTAGCGGCCAGTTCAAACATACGCCTCTTATCTACGCCACCCGCCGAATTGCTGCCTCCTGCCACGCCTTCCTCGTGCGCTTTCGCCGCGCCGGCTCGCAGGATAGCAGGTAACAGGAGCTCGGCTACCGCGCTCACGGTTCGTGAGCGGAGGAAATGTAGGACCTGCTGGGCTTCCCGTGTTTCGTCGAAAAGTCTCCGCTGGCGGGCGGCGGGCACCGGTCGCGCTACACTCCACGTTTCGAGCCAAGGGTTCCCGGGTAAAAGCATACGCGCGCCTAGAGCTCCGCCGTCGTCGGGCAACCAGTCCCGGGGAGAGTACCACTGCACAAAATCACACAATTCGGCGCCCGGGTTGGCCGCTTTAAACGCCTCCATGTCGGAAAGCAGCGACGCGCTCATCATCCTCGCCCGCAGCTCGGACGCCTTAGCGTCGTCCCCTAACCGCACCATCAGCTCCGCATCCTCTTCTAATTGATCTTCAGTTTTTGGCGCTGGATCCTACAATGAAAAAATAATTTAAATCTTTTGAATGCAAAAGACAATAAAAATTTACACACATTTGAGTTTATTGTGACAGCTACTCTCGTTACTTTCACTTTTGCTGCTTTATTAGTTACGAAATGTTGAGTGTACGACATATACGAATTTAAATGATTAGATCACTCAGTCGAGCGAGTAATTTACTTTTTTGCAGATAATTCTGAGTCAGAACTGAAATCTCACCTGCGTACAAGGCACATAAAGTGGTGTTCCATTTTTTAGAGTTGCATCTTCGAGCCGCTGGAGGCGACCCACTGGCCTGTCCCAGGGCGGCTGCTCCTCGCCGCCTTCTCCTTCGGAACAGTCGTAGAATTCATCTTCGGAAGAATTTCCAGCGAAGCTTCCTGAGCCCTCGAGAGCGCGCTTAATGCAACAGTTCAGCAACTGCAACTTTTGGTGCAGCAGGCAAGTTCGAGCGTTCGGCACGCCTTCTGCGACTCTGAAAATCAAATGATTTCATTAATTTGCATGTTCAATCCAATAACTTAAGACGATGTGGCAGATAAATGCTGTCACGCAATAAATAATTGAGTTAGAATTAATTAAAATATAATTATAAACATTTATAAAACTAATACTTTTTCATATCATCAGGAATAATAATTTATTATTTATTGATAACTTATTGAAAATAATGTCACCAGGACCACCAATCCTAATATGTGGGGTTCTGAATTCTTTGTACTTATACAAAAGACTAAAGGTATTACAATCGTTTTTATTTACCTATTGAATTAAGCTACCTACTGCACACTATAAATCTAACCAATTATACAAGAAGAATCCGCATACAGTAGATTTTATTGCTGAAAAACATGACTAATTTTTTGCCTAAGCATTCGATAACAATGTCAAGCTTTGCTTCATCATCGTTACAACTTTCACTTTGACGGCAATTTTAAGTAGACAAATATACGACCTCCAAAAGAAAGCAAATAAATCAAGAGAATGCTCAACGTTTCGCTCAATACGTGGAACGTTTTCTCTTTCACGTATGCAAATTCGCAGTCTCCGGCGCGTCTTAGCACGATAGATTGAGAATATTGAAAACGACGAAAGCGCCTCAAGCGCATCTCGCAGAACGCACCTGGTGGTGGTAAGTGATGATGGCACTCTAATTACTGCGCTTGAGATAGTGTGTCGGCCGCGCGGCGCGACCCAGAAGCGAGATGCGCGCTAAACGCACCAACGCTCCCGGGAACCGTTAGCATATTGAATTAGAAATATGTAACTTGCACGGACAGAAGCCGAGCGTCGGGCCACACGTCCACTGCTTTTGAGTCCGCGTCGTGCAATCGGTCGCTGAACCGTTTGTTTACCGGAGCCGGTGCGGAGCAGCAACTAGGTGTAGGTCAGCGATGGTGGGGAGCCAGAGCCGCTGATCAGTGCGCCGCCACCGACTGCCGCGCGCGCGTCCCTCGCGGAGACATGGGCCTGAACCCACCGGCGTGAGCGCAGTACCGGTTCCAAAACAAATCGAAAGTGACCCCTTTCCCACTGTTGTGACCCAATGATGACAATTTATCGGTGATTTACAGTAAAAATCCGTGCTAGTGCTAGAAGAAAGTGGCCAGTTTTAAAGGATTTTCCAGGTGTTTAACGTGGATTCCTCAATCATGGTGAGTTATTAAAATTTCTGTATTTTTTATACGAATTCTTCTACGATAACTGGTACTGAGCGAAAGAAAATCTCGTCGCGTACATTGACCCACTTATGAAGAATCAACGTGCAGAGACCGGCACGAACGATAATTTCTTCCACAATTGTACGAGACATACTATTTTCTCTGAAGATTATACATATTTTCGCCATGCTAGTAACATAACAGAACGCAACAATCAGGTTCAAAAAAACCAATAGCTCGGGAATGGCAGACACCTAGTTAAAATCAAACTCGAAGCAAGACACTGGGCTGCACATTAACGAAATTAGTTTTCGTCCGCTGTTGTTGAATGTTGACACACAAACAAACAATAAGTCTGGTAAGTACACAGTTCAAACATGGCTATAGTTGTAGAGTCACACTAAATACACAAAGAACATCATTGTAAGAAAGTTCATTGTGAATTTGTGACATAAATCCTGATTATAAAATAGTAAATAATTTTGTTACGATCATGGCTAAATAACATACTTCGATGGGGTTTTAACCACTTAACTCGTCAATAGTCAAGTGAAACCTGCAATAAGCAGCATTTAGTGTCAACACGACAAGGAAAGGCTAGTTAATACTTTGTTCTAGCCATTTTCGAAATGTCATTATCACGTTCATAATATTCCGCGACTTGGTAAACAGCAGACTCACGTGTGGCTATGTCAAACGCGCACTTTCTCCTTGGCCGCGACGTTAAAAACGATACTATTTTGGATACAAATTACTTTTACGTTTTCGCAACTTCAATATTCGCCTATCGCATTTGGCCGTCTGTTTATCCGACAGAGTTTCTCGTGTGCCGTCTCGGCAGTGTATTTGTAGAGGCGGCGACGATGGGGCGTTCACCCTGCGGGGTGGCTTCAGGGCTGAATGCTCTATCCAAGCCAGTTCCGGGCCCCAACTATGTCATTACTGTCCTGTTTACTCTCAATTGTATGCTTCTTATTTCCAGATATTTACTAGAAATAACACTAAACTGTACCTAAACTCAAATAAAAAAAACCCAATGTACTATGACTTACACGCAGGTGAATACACTGCTAATACTGCAAATTGCAATACATCATCTATCTATGCAATCCGTCGAAACGCGCAGAAAGTCATTGGTTTTGACGTGCACACGATCGGAATTGGCATTATTGGCGATGAGGTAAGATTTGATTCGTAATATTCATTACATGTCTATTAGTAAAATAAATAATTAATAATTTATAACATCATTAAGAAATGACAAAAAATTTTGCTAGGAAATAATATTTTGGCAAAAAAACGAGATGAACAATTAAAAATATGAAAATAAACATCAGTCATGATAGTTTACAACAACAATCATAAATGCATCCACTCAACGACAATGGACATCAATCACAGCATCATTTATAAAATTATAAGAAAAAAATGTATTTTGGTAGATATCTATAAATCGGTACCATTCTTTATTAATAAACATTCGAATTATGTTCTCATAATGACAATTAATTAATTAATAAATGATAAGCACAGTCATGGTAGAGTAATCGAAGTAAACAAATAATAAGAATATACAGATGATTTTATTTTAACGAATATTTTTTTCCCAAGAACCTATTTCTACGAGAATACGTTAATGATACAAGTATATCTTTTGTGTGATACAAGTTTCATTTAAAATTTCCTTTTTAGTATAAAATACACATCTGGGGCGGAACTAAAAGCCACGTGCAGTCAATTTCCGGGGTCGGCTGCACTTCGTTATGAACGAAGCAATACATTTTCACAGCAACTAATGGAATTGAAATTAAACTGACAATCGTTTTTTAAAATAAAATGTAATTAGTAACTGCTATTTAGCATTTAATTTCAAATATTCGATTGAGTGAACAGGATGTTATAAACAACATTTTTAGTATTCAAAGCTTTACACGGTGTTGGTATTGATTTAAACAACAGCGACTAACAACAGTCATTTCGAGAGTGCCTAACTTTGGCTTATCAATTCGGCCTCAAGGCACCGAAACTTGAGTCTGTAATTCAAGTTTGATTGTGTTGCGTCGAGTCAGCAATACGATGGAAGAGATCGAACACGATTGTTAAAGCAAAAATATATTCCGTATGTAGAGTCATTTATTGTAATTGGTAAACGTATTGTACAGTACCTATTCTTTTGCCCGTAAGTTTTCTAAAATGCTGGATAGATGATATGCGTTTTTATTTTTATCCACTTTAAAGAAAACACGAGATTTTGTTGGTTAGCTAAGAGATTAATACTGTACAAAAAACTGTTGTATTTATTCGTCTGCGTCTACTAAATGAATTCTTTTGCGATTACTGTTACAGTTTATTACATTGCGATTAATTGTAAACGCATATCGGTATAACATAATATATTCAGTGAGTATTTTATAACTAGAATAATAGAATTGCATCACTAGTTTGCACTTTATGTAAGTACAAATACATGCAATAGGTACAATAGCATCGTAAAATCATGATAAATTACTTTTAATATGGGCAAGTGGGCACCTCTCGTAACAACTAAAATTATTAGTTTTCCACGGAACTATACACAACTTGACAAGATTTAGCCTCTGGCATTTATGTCATGTGATAGTGGCGTTACGTTTGCATACAATTTAATAATCGTCGCCATACGTGATGCTACATAATAATATGCACATACTTCAAAGTCTTCAAACCTGTCAATTTGATGGAACCATGATGTATTAAGTAAGCTTACATCTCATCAGACTTTAGTAGGTACTCCAGCTTAGCAATAAAATAAATTAGAGCTTTCTTTAATACAGATTGGTACGAAATAGACGTGCGCGCCGCCGCGGCGCGCCGCCGCCATAAGGAGTCAGCGCGCCGCCGCCGAAGCCGGTAGTTTAAAATTCGCGCCGAGACAAAACTCTTTGGAGACTGTTTCTCAAGTGATAGAGGAAGATGAAAACGATCCAGTCTCTGTAGACAGTGAAGACGTGGTAGAAGAGACAGAAGCTCGTCGTGCCTTATTTGTAAATTTGGCAAACATACCTACAGTCAAAACATCTACTCCAACGAGATGGCACAGTGTCTTAGAAATGCTCGAAAGTATGGCGCACTTGATTTTAGCAATTCTGCGAGCTATGTCGGTTACTTTGGTTCTCCTGCGGATCTCCTCATTTCTGATTCGATCACGCAGGGAAACTCCGAGCATAGCCCGCTCCATCGCCCTTTGTCTCACTTCAGATCCGTATACCATCACTGGCAACACACACTGGTCAAAGACTTTTGACTTGAGTGGGCGGGGCACTTAGCTCGTAGAGACGATGGCCGTTGGGGCAGGAAAGTTCTCGAGTGGCTACCACGGGCTGGAAGACGTAGCGTGGGCAGGCCTCCTACTAGGTGGACCGAAGATCTGGTAAAGGTCGCGGGAAGAGCCTGGATGCGGGCAGCGCAGGACCGTTCATTATGGAAAACTTTGCCTACTGCCTTAACTAGCCAAATGACGTCCAAGTATTTCCACAAAGACCGGTCCTGCGCCGCTTGCATCCAGGTACCTCCCGCGACCTTCACCAGATCGTCGGTCCACCTAGTGGGAGGCCTGCCCACGCTACGTCTTCCAGCTCGTGGTCGCCACTCAAGAACTTTCCTGCCCCAGCGGCCATCAGCTCTTCGAGCTATGTGCCCCGCCCACTGCCACTTGATTTTAGCGATTCTGCGGGCTATGTCAGTCAGTNTTAGTACCTCAAAAATGAAAAATGAAAACCTCATTTTCGCCATTTTCTCTGTTACCCGGCCTTAAATTTATAGCTTGCTTCATAAGTCATAACACTTCACGAACTCAACTGCTGAAATATAAATCAATAAATTAATATTCGATGGACTTTTAACGAGACTCAGCACATGGCTCCAAATTCAGATGTCAGTATCAATTGTTAAAGATAAGTTTTATTTAAAATTGCACAAATTATTTTGCAAAATACGTCAAAAATGATGAATTAAAGTTATAAAGTACTTTGATCGACACCGGTTTAATGTTGAAGCACTTCTCAACTTTAAACCGCTTCGTCGACGCGTGAATTTCAATTTACGTCGGTATAGCGAACGTTGTTGTAGTTGCGAGTTTGGGCGGCTTAGGCGGCGTGCTCATGAACTAACGATGTAACAAACATGATACTCCACTGACGAACTGAACCTATTAAACATGAAAGATTTGATTTATTTATAGTAACATTTATGTTACTTAAATGACTAGATAGGCCGTAAAACTACCTGACTTGAGCGTAACTAAAATATGTAGTCATATAAAGAATTTTTATACCCACGTGTAAATAAAGCCTTATTTCAGCTTTCTGAATTCAACAGCCAGTCGCCAGCTGCAGTTGTTGTCAATGTTTTAATTGCACCCATTACAGTTAACATTTCACGTGATATAAGTTGAGTAAAGTTTATTGCACCGTTTGTAATTAGAGAAGTTTCGTGTAAAATTCAATTTTCGCAAAAAGGTGTGCACATAAAAATACCTATACTTCGTGTCCACAATCAACATTGGCTTTATTAGTCTAGTTGTAAATTGTAATAGAATTGAAAATAACAAATACCTAGGTACGCAAGTAATGTACCTACATCAAAACTACAATCAACAAAGATTACTGTAGTAATGTCAACCCATCCATATTATCCAGGGGAGTCGTTTTCAACCGACTTCAAAAAAAGGAGGAGGTTCTCAATTCGACCCGTATGTTTTTTCTTATGCCATCAGTAAGTAAATCCTCCGTTTGATAGATGGCATTAAGCAAGTACCAACTACCCCCAACCTACTCACACCTCCCTCACTGTATACTACATAATGATTGTATTTATAGAAACAACTGTATAGGAAATGTATTTTTAAAATATTGTGTGTACAAGTATGGAAACAAATCATGTAGGAAATTGATTTCCTATTCTCCTCTTTTTGTATTTTTTATCCCCTTTAAAATTACTAGTTGTACCTACTTTGA